TCAAAAGGCTCATAGGCTTCACTTTTCCCGAAATTGAACATAGCGTCTCATTAATTCAATGTACTGGCATTAAGCCTGTGCACGGCTGCGGGTATTTTTTACAAAATTACATCTCTCGTCAAATTGATAACATGAATTTTTTATATGTAACTATTTATAAAAACTTCAGCTGTAATTTTTTATTACTATTTACGGAGTGAATTTCTGAATTATTTAACAAAATAATACACAATTTAGTAAGTTTTATATATTTTCTATTTTCTATAATAATGTCATGCTCTAAGCTCACGGGCCCAGTTGGCGCGTGCAAGCCATGAGACCCAAAGAGAGTAACTCGATGTTGGTCAACATCTACTTGCCAAAATGCTAGTACTTCATTACCCTTGAGTCTTGGCTTTCTTCTATTTAAACCACAAAATTTTCTTCACACCAGTCCATATGGGGCTAAAGTGCACTTCCGACTAGCAGTGACACTAGTATGTGCCAATTGTCATATCGTGACGACGAGGACGTCGTTTTGTAAAGTGGGGGTGATTGTGATACCCCCACAGTTTAGTCCCACATATACTAGTGTGAAAAAATTTTGTGGTTTAAATAGAGGAAAGCCAAGATTCAAGGGTAACACAATGCTAGCATTTTAACAAGTACATCAAAATGCTAGCACTTCATTACCCTTGAGTATTGACTTTCCTCTATTTAAACCACAAAATTTTCTTCACACTAGTTCATGTGGGACTAAAGTGTGGGGGTATCACAATTATTTGCTACGCCCTGATCTAGGGGCCCTGTTGGCGCATGCAAGCCGTAGGATCCATAAAGAGCAACTCGATGTTGGCTAACATCTACTTGTCAAAATGCTAGCACTTTGTTACCCTTAAGTCTTGACTTTCCTCTATTTAAACCACACAATTTTCTTCACGTTAGTCCATGTGAGACTAAAGTGTGGGGGTATCACAATCACCCCACCTTACAAAGCGACGTCCTCGTCGTCGTGACATGACAATTGACACATACCAGTGCCACTGCCAGGCGATGTGGATTTTAGAGGTGGCTCCCACCGCATTCATACTTTCAGTGCGCGGTGTAGCACTTAGTTCTGCACTTTCGGCTGGCAACATGTTCTCCATTTGTCACGCCCTGAGCCCATGGGCCCTGTTGGCACGTGCAAGCCGTGGGGCCCACAGAGAGCAACTCGATGTAAAATAAAATAAAAGTACTAAAATAATTTTTCCTAACACAATTAGACTTCCTAAAATAAAAAAACATTCCTTAAAAAACTAGAAACTAAATTTAACCCAAACTCTTTCGACGTGCAGTTTGAGCATGAAGACGAATTCTTTTGACCCCGAAACTCAGTCAGAACGGCAAAGCTATTCAACTTGTAGAGAGCTTCTTGAGCTTTCCAAAAACATATAATAATAATAGTGATTCTATGGAGGAAATCAAAAGTTATGATCCGTTAAAGTTGCACGTTAAAATCTGATCGAAAATCAATCTTTTTTCTTATATCGTATGAGCTTCGCATGATCCGATTTTTCCAAAATGCATTAGCAATGTACTCCGCATTAGAGAGCCTGTTGAGGGCCTCAGGGTCTTGTTCTGATCTTTATGAAAGTTGGCTGCTTTTCATAGATACACATTAGTTAATGAGATTTTTTTTTCACGAGTCCAGTTAGAAACTTTCATTTAACCCAAAATATGGCACCACCTCATGACAGGTGGATTGGATATTTTTTTTAATCTTTGTTTACCAGGTAGGATAGCGATCAAGGACTGTAGTTATGTTAACTTCATATTTCAGTTAATTATGCAGTGATTCCACCTGTAAAACAACAAAAAATACTTTATATTTTGCATCAAATATTTGCAAAAAATAATATTGAGAGAGAGAGAAGAAGAATGTAAAATTCATACACAGCACACTCTAAACAAACAAATTTGTTCAAAAAAAAAAGGAAAACACAGGAATCTCAGCCTTCTCTACGCTTCGATTCTAACTATGTTTGTGCAATGTATGAAAGAAAGGGGGAAAAATGAATGAAGAATTTGCAAGGAGAACTGCAACAGAATTCGTCAGACGCGAAGGAAAACGAAAATTTGAGAAAAAGAGAACTGGGATTCTGAGACATTATGTAATTGTTGTCTTCAAAATAACTTCTAGGACTGATCATGAATAATAGTTTCAAAATTCTAACAGAGGAGATTTGGTTCAGAAAAACTCAATTGCACAAACCCAAGTCAGGGAATATTCCCAAAGTCCAGTAATCTTGGCATCCTGCTTTCTCAATACAAAGGTCAAAACAAAAAGCTGAGAGAAAAGAACCAAGACATGAATATGTCTCCTCAAAAAAAAAAAAAAAACTTTTTGATTGTAACTTATTGTAGCAACATATCCCTAGAAAACTTATTCTAACAAAACCATTTGCGAAATGGGCTATTACATGTCGGTTACACGACTCTCACTATGTAGCTTAGGTTGTATCTGTAGTTAAGAACAAGTGCAGCAAACTCCTAGTTAGGAGTACTTGTTGGAGAGCTCTCAAGAGCTCTCAATGCCACATCACATGGGTTTTTGTTTAAAATTGGGGTTTTGTGTAAAAAATCTCTCTTTTAGTGTAGCTGCAGGCTAAAAATGGGGTTTTGTGTAAAAAAAATTATTTTTTTATTCCGGGTGTTAGTCAATTGGAACATTTTCATGCAAAATGGGATAATTGTTAAAATGGAATAATATTTCGCTAGTGGGATATTTTAGTGGGATAACTAGGAACAATTTTGTGAAGCAGGATATTTTGATAAAATAACGTGGGATAAATTTTTATAATCATGAAGTATATATTTATGCATTTTGAAGATATAAATATTATTTATGTATTTTAAACTTACTATTATTAATTAATAATTGCTTACAAGAATGTTCGTTACTATTAAATAACTTTTGGTTAGACTATAAGATATTGACAATTATTATTATGATGATGGTTTAATGATGGTGATAACCATAATAGGAAATAAGTAAAGAAAAAAAAAATAAAAAATAACAAAATAAATACGAGTTCTAGTTTTTTAACACATAGTTCCAAGCTAAAACTTGGAATAATTTGAGAGACTAGAACTCTCATTTTTGTATAGAAAAATAAAAAAAGTGGGATAATTTTGTACAATTATCCCAATTCTAGTTTTGTTAAAGTTCTGCTTGACTAACATTGTAAAATTTTATTCTAGTTTTAGTTCTATGTGACTAACACCTTAAAATTTTGTTCTAGGTTTAGTTCTATGTGACTAACACCTTAAAATTTTATCCCACAGATTATCCTAGTTCTAATTTTAAGTTCTAGGTGACTAACCCCCCCTTAGGAGCTCCCAAGCGCTCCACAAATTTGTGGAGCGCTTGGGAGCTCAACTGGGCCCCACCTCCTACGTGATGTCCACATCTGCCTAAAGAGGTCTCTTAGGAGCTTGCCGAGGCGTTTGCAGCATGCTCCCACTGCCACCTCAGCGTTGGGAGCTTGGGTGAGAGCCTACTGCACTTGCTCTAAAGGCTACTGACTGCTTCTAATATAGAGTTGCACCTGTACCCAACACGTTTCATACCAGTACATGTACCCGATACTTGTTGGACACTCTCTAAATATATGCATATATTTATTTAGACATGTACTCAATTATACAATACATGTTTAATTTAAAACATTTGTCGTACACTTTTTGGATTGCGTATACATCATACACTTCACATCCATTTTTCTTGGACACGGGCTAAGTTCTTTTCAGCCTTAAGAGCTAAAGATTTAAAAGGCTTTTTACATTTGCATCTCAGGACTACAAATATACCCCATGAGTTTCAGTCGTGTCCCTGTATTCTACCTTTTACAAATTTGCCATGGTCTAATCAGAGCAGAGACCTGAAATAGCGGATCGATCTTGGTTTAATTTTGCTGATTATGTCAATTTGATACAACTATTAGTCGTATTTCTTCCAATTTTTCAGAAGAAGCTGATAATTACTCTGTTCTTGGTGAGTACGTACGACTGGGACAAAGAGGAACGAAGATTATTCGATGGAACTCTGTTATCAAAAGAAAGGCGTGAAGAAAATTGGGAGAGGCGAATCACTCAACGCCTTATCATTGTACTTAATTATCCTATGTAACTAAACACCAGTGGCGGATCCACACCCTCTCGCGTGGTGGTTCAAAATATACATTAATATTTTTTTTCAAGATCTATTATTAGAGGCGTAAAAAACAATAAATAAATATAAAGCGAAAAAATATTTTTAGAGAAGCAAAAATAAAAAAATAGGAGAAAGTATATATATATATAAAGATAATTACTTGGCTTATCTTCATCTAAATACAGTAAATAGAATGTTGGGTTAAAAAAAAGAAAGAAACATAATGTAGAGAAAGTGGTTTGTAAAAAAGCAAACTTAGAAAGCTTTGGGAGGATTAGAACCTGTGACCTCTTAGAAACTAACAACCACTAGTACCACTGGGCTATAAGTTAGTTATGTTCACTAACAGATATCTATAATATATAGTTTATTTACGAAAGTTGAGGTGGTTCAAGTGAACCACTTTGAACAGGCATGGGTCCGCCAATGCTAAACACCTACTTATTAAATGACAATGAAACTTTTCAAATTTATCAGAGAAATTATCATCCTCTAAACCGCATTAACTAAAATCAAAATCTCATCCAATTGTCTATAGTGTATTTTAACCATAGGAACAACATCAAATTATTCTGGTAAATGTTTTAACTTCCGAATGAAAGTTTACTCGAGGCACAATATCGTACACTGTAAAAGAAATTCCAAAACATGTACACAATGTCAAAAATACACCCAAGTTTCTAACTAATTGATCATAGAAGAATCCAAGTTAAACAACAACAAAAAAAAAAGAAGAAGAAGAAAAACAACTACATCTCACTTGGAAGTCTAGCCAAATAAACCGACGTGAAATATCAAACAAAATTCAAAGTAAAGTCTACTTAGATGACCTAAATTACGGTGGAGGTGGAAATTTTCATTTGGCACTCTGCGCTAACTCGATATCATTATTATTATCCGTGGTCTTCTTTGGAGTAGATTTATAGTAACAAAAGTAGAGTACAAGCTGAGCGGCTCCAAAAATTGCACCAAGACCATTCGGAATCTGAAAAAAAATACAATTTTTTTTAATAATAATAATAAATGAACGCAGATAATGAAAAGAAGAGCGCTTGGTGCTTAAGGAAAGTTCATGGTTAAATTTCTTTGAATGATCATCAGATAACCCCTCTAACTTTCAAAGTAGGAGGGGTCGTTCAGCAAAACCCCTTCGACTTTTACGGTTATCTAAAAAATCTTCCCTAACGTGCGAAGATTTTGCAAGTACTGGGGGTTTCATGATTAAATTTCCTGATATTTTGAAAGTTGCGGGGGTTTAGTAATCATCATCCAAAGTTAATGAGGATATTCTGAAATTTAGCCAAAAAAAATTATTCAGTATATAAATAGTTGAAGGTGTTACCGTGACGAAGAGATCGAATTGGATGAGAGCATATGTTGTCCAGCACACTCCATTCACGAACCCGACCAGCGAAAGGGCCAGAGGCATATATTCCACGCTCTTTGTCCGGATCACCAACATCTGATGGATCCAAGAAAAAAAAAAGTGTGAAATATTAAATTTTTTATCTATACATATATATATATATAGAGAGAGAGAGTAAAACTCCTATCCACTTAAGTGGATAGGAGGTCTTGTCCACCAAACTTTTTATCCACTCATCTTGTCTCAAGATTTGTGCCATCAAAAGATTCACAAATCTTAAAAGATTCTTCATATCTATCATGGATCCCAATGCAATATCAACGGTTAAAAAAGTTGATGGATGACTTATTCCTATCCACTTAAGTTGACATAAGCTTTTACCTATATATATATATAAATCGTAGGTTTTAACTCATGAAATTGTGAATTGTGACCATCTCAATATTTACCAACAGGTCAAAATGGCTACAAATAGCCAAAAATCATGGGTTATATAGCCCACGAAATAGTAAATTTTGGCCCCTGAAAAATTATTTTAAAAGACAAAATATAGCAAACAATCGTGAGTTATAGCTCACAAAATCATACATTTTGGTTACCATGAAATTATTTACCAATTTATTGAAACAACTAAAATGGCCTAATTATAGCTCAAGAAATCAAGAATTTTAGCCCTCTCAAAATTACTTGCTGGATAGGATAGCAAAAAGTTGTCCGCCAAACTTTTTAGCCACTCATATTTTCTAGGAATCCTTGCATGATATGAAAATATTTTTTATATTAATAAATGAGTGGCTAGAAAGTTTGATGGACATCAACTTAAGTTGATAGGAGAGAACTGAAATATATTACAGTTTGGACAAGCTAAACCGTAATTGCAATATGAAAATATATTACAATGAATTATATTACGATGCAATATCAACCGAAGAGCAGTACGTTCGTACAAAATCCAGAGCAAAAAAAAAAAAGTAAAGGGTTGTTAATTTGCGTATATACCCCCTTACATTATGGGTATCATCAACAATACCCTTCAAATCTCAATATTTGCAAAACTGCCCTTAAATCGTTAATTTTGGAGGAAAAAAATTACCCTCAAAGCTTGGACAAGCTAAACCGTAATTGCAATACAAAAACTATCAACAGATTAGTTGAATTTTTAACACCAAGTTGATGATTTGTTGATTTTAGGGGTATTTTTCCCCTAAAGTTGATTATTCAAGGGGTAAATTTGCAAGTACTAAGATTGGGGAGCTAGCATTTATGCAGATACACATGATTTAAGGGGTATATATGCAAATAACAAAAAATAAATACAAATGTAAATTTAAAAGAGTTACCATGACTGATAGAGGGGAGGCATACATGGCCGTGCCAAAAATCACACACAGAACTCCTACAATTAATTGCCTTTTATGATGCGTGTGAGCTCCGAGGAGAACCCCAACGGCTACTGAAGCCATGAAGACCAACTCTCCGGCTAAGATACCCAAAACTTTCAACTGTTTAAAAAAAAAAAGGGGTAATTAGCTTCACTTCACAAATAACTCAATTAAGAAAATTACTTCAAAAAAACAATTTCAGCAATATTTGTTCCAAGGAAATTATATCAGCCCAAACCACCTTAATTTCAGCGTGAAGAATAAACATGATATAAATAAAGAGTAGAGATCAGAACGAATCAAAACGACAGCATTTATATCTTTTGAAATCATTGATTAATCCGAAACAAAAACCAAATTCCATTAATTTTCCAATACAAATTTAAATACATGTCCATCGAATATTTTCATTGAATTCTTATTTTACATCAAATTAAATATAATTGTTATTGGGGTAAATTGCACCAAACCACCAATAACTTTTAGAATTTTTAGTAAACCCCCAATAATTTCAAAACTTGCACGAAGCCCCCAATAGGTTTTTCGATTTTGCAGAAAACCCATGCAATTTACAACCCGAAAACAACATAAAAGGACAGTCTAAAAGTGTTTGCGGGTTTAGTTTACCCAGAAGATATTGGGTGATCTCTGCAAAAAATTATTTGGTGTTGAGTTCGATCTTGAAGTTATTTGCGGTCTAGCTACTGCAGAACGCTAGAAGTTCATGGGGGTTCACTGTAATTTAACCTGATTATCGATACGAATTGTTTAGTTATAAAGAACTTCCCATTTAATTCATTTTTTGAGCATATACAAAACTGAATCTTCATAACTCAAACGATGGTTTATTCATAGCATACCTAATCTCGACTCCTAAATCTCTCAAAATTACTATATATTGATAGAGCTAGCGCAGAATTGAAAGAGAGAAAAAAATATATTGTAAAAGATAGTAAAAAAAAAAACAGTAGCATGCAAACATATACAAGGGTTGATGACAAGCAAAATATTTAGAGTAGTTAATGATAGAGAAGTTGGGCCACGTACGCGCTTATCTTTTGGCGCGTAGATGAAGTAAACGAGTAGGTACGCGGCCTCCATCGCGAGCCCGATGCCGTTGATCGTGACGACCAGGGTGCTGTCCGGCGTCACGAAGGGAAGCCCATAAAAGACCCACATCATGCAATTGAGAAGAGTCGCCAAGTACGGGATCGCCGAAAACTCCTCCACCGCCTTCTTCTTCCATATCGTAACAAAAGTCGGCCTGCAGAATAAATTTATACTAATTATCTTAAGTCGATTTGCCTAATTATTTAGAGAGAGAGATAAAAAAAAAAGACCCACTTACACCGGAGAGAGAAATAAGAAGAAGGATATGACGTTACCTGAGGAAATAATAAAGTTAGAGAAGAGTGCACAGGGCGTAGAAATTATTTTGCTGTAAAGTTTGATATATTATTTTTAATATGATGCAAATAACTAATTAGATGAGAGAAATAGTTTTAGGGTTTCAGGTCGACGTTGTTACCGATGACGCCGATGACAGTGCGAACTTGATGCGCGGTCACCATCTTCCACCAGCTTTTCGGTGACGAACAGAATACAAATTAAAAGGCTGCACGAAGGGAGAAAGGATTTTAAATTATTTAGAAAGAAATTAAGGGAATTTGGTCTTGGAGAGGGTTACGCACTTTAAATAATATTTGATAGTATCAGAGATATCAGATTTGAACAGTTTAGACCTTATCCCTATGCCGGTAACTATGCAATCTTTGAAAAAGATCCGAAATATATATCATCATATGAATTCCATTCTAAATTGGAAGTTAATTTTATACAAGGAAAACCAATAATCCATATATAATATTTTAGGAAGTAATCATCAACAACTAATCCCAGATTTTTCCAGAAAATTAACTTGAATTCCATATCTTTTATTTAAGAACTCATGCGTAGTCATCTGTAGTGGTAAAAACACCAAATTGGTATATTTTGTTTACCCTTAGGGGGTGTTTGGTTGCATTGTTTTTGAGAAATGTTTTCTCAAAAGTACTGACGCATGGCATTTATGTAATTAAGAGTTTTCTATACATTTCTATAAACTGTGTTTGGCTCCAAAAAAATTTACAGAAATGTTTTCTGTAAAGTGCCCAAAAGTACCAAATTTTATGGAAATTGATTTCCTTCTAAAATGGGAGGAAATCTCTTGGAAATCTGACGCATTCATTATTTAAATAATAAAACTTATTAACTCTTTTCTACAAAGTTCTCACTTTTCTATAAAGTTGGTGGTGTTTGGTTACATTTCTATAAATTATAGGAAATGTTGCTATTTTCCTAAAAGTTATTTCTCATTTTCTTGTTTTGAACCAAACAAGCACAATACAAAAAATAAGAAAATTTGTACTTTTTAACTTCTCAAAACTTTTCCTATAATTTTTTTAAGAAATACAAGAAAATCAAATTTGGGATGGAAAACATTTCCTATAATTTATAGAAATGTAACCAAACACCACCAACTTTATAGAAAAGTGAGAACTTTATAGAAAAGTGTTAATGAGTTTTATTATTTAAATAATGAATGCGTCAGATTTCCAAGAGATTTCCTCCCATTTTAGAAGGAAATCAATTTCCATAAAATTTGGTACTTTTCTGTACTTTACAGAAAACATTTCTGTAAAATTTTTTGGAGCCAAACACAGTTTATAGAAATGTATAGAAAACTCTTAATTACATAAATGCCATGCGTCAGTACTTTTGAGAAAACATTTCTCAAAAACAATGCAACCAAACACCCCATTAGATTAGGTGTGTTAGCATTATCCTGACAGGGGCCAGGGCCTACGAGAGCGAGCGCTGTCAGAGGGAGCCAGCGTAGCTCGTTTCAGAAACAAAACTGAATCTTCATAACTCAAACGATGGTTTATTCATAGCATACCTAATCTCGACTCCTAAATCTCTCAAAATTACTATATATTGATAGAGCTAGCGCAGAATTGAAAGAGAGAAAAAAATATATTGTAAAAGATAGTAAAAAAAAAAACAGTAGCATGCAAACATATACAAGGGTTGATGACAAGCAAAATATTTAGAGTAGTTAATGATAGAGAAGTTGGGCCACGTACGCGCTTATCTTTTGGCGCGTAGATGAAGTAAACGAGTAGGTACGCGGCCTCCATCGCGAGCCCGATGCCGTTGATCGTGACGACCAGGGTGCTGTCCGGCGTCACGAAGGGAAGCCCATAAAAGACCCACATCATGCAATTGAGAAGAGTCGCCAAGTACGGGATCGCCGAAAACTCCTCCACCGCCTTCTTCTTCCATATCGTAACAAAAGTCGGCCTGCAGAATAAATTTATACTAATTATCTTAAGTCGATTTGCCTAATTATTTAGAGAGAGAGATAAAAAAAAAAGACCCACTTACACCGGAGAGAGAAATAAGAAGAAGGATATGACGTTACCTGAGGAAATAATAAAGTTAGAGAAGAGTGCACAGGGCGTAGAAATTATTTTGCTGTAAAGTTTGATATATTATTTTTAATATGATGCAAATAACTAATTAGATGAGAGAAATAGTTTTAGGGTTTCAGGTCGACGTTGTTACCGATGACGCCGATGACAGTGCGAACTTGATGCGCGGTCACCATCTTCCACCAGCTTTTCGGTGACGAACAGAATACAAATTAAAAGGCTGCACGAAGGGAGAAAGGATTTTAAATTATTTAGAAAGAAATTAAGGGAATTTGGTCTTGGAGAGGGTTACGCACTTTAAATAATATTTGATAGTATCAGAGATATCAGATTTGAACAGTTTAGACCTTATCCCTATGCCGGTAACTATGCAATCTTTGAAAAAGATCCGAAATATATATCATCATATGAATTCCATTCTAAATTGGAAGTTAATTTTATACAAGGAAAACCAATAATCCATATATAATATTTTAGGAAGTAATCATCAACAACTAATCCCAGATTTTTCCAGAAAATTAACTTGAATTCCATATCTTTTATTTAAGAACTCATGCGTAGTCATCTGTAGTGGTAAAAACACCAAATTGGTATATTTTGTTTACCCTTAGGGGGTGTTTGGTTGCATTGTTTTTGAGAAATGTTTTCTCAAAAGTACTGACGCATGGCATTTATGTAATTAAGAGTTTTCTATACATTTCTATAAACTGTGTTTGGCTCCAAAAAAATTTACAGAAATGTTTTCTGTAAAGTGCCCAAAAGTACCAAATTTTATGGAAATTGATTTCCTTCTAAAATGGGAGGAAATCTCTTGGAAATCTGACGCATTCATTATTTAAATAATAAAACTTATTAACTCTTTTCTACAAAGTTCTCACTTTTCTATAAAGTTGGTGGTGTTTGGTTACATTTCTATAAATTATAGGAAATGTTGCTATTTTCCTAAAAGTTATTTCTCATTTTCTTGTTTTGAACCAAACAAGCACAATACAAAAAATAAGAAAATTTGTACTTTTTAACTTCTCAAAACTTTTCCTATAATTTTTTTAAGAAATACAAGAAAATCAAATTTGGGATGGAAAACATTTCCTATAATTTATAGAAATGTAACCAAACACCCCCTTAGTGTGACAGTTTGATATATATTTTTTCTCCAGCGATATATTGGTATTATTATTATTATTTAGGCAACAAATGTGCCTCAATTTTGGCCGGACCCAAAATTCCTGTGAAATTTCCCACGTGACGCCTCACTTGATGCGAACGTGGCTCCCAGTGTCAAACAATTGCAACTAATCTCATCTAAAACCATTCCGTTCTCCATCACTCTCTCAAATAAACCCAATAGCTTCATCTATCTTCCCACATTTTCTCAAGCTCTCCATTAATAAGCTACAAGTCATAACAGCTATATCCTCATTCCTGTAATTACATAAAGCTCTGACTAACACGAAGCAATCGAACCCATCAGGCACCGCTCCTTTCGCTAAGAAACCCATCAAAATCTCGCACATTTCTAAAGCTCTCCCTTCTCTACAAAGCTCATTGATCAAAATCTCGCAAGTCACTATCGAAAATGATTCGAGCTACCGATGAGGATGTTTAAAGTGTACACATCGGGCTTGACTCGATCTTGGATCATGGTGTGGTACCATTGTAGAGCTTGTTGGTGTTGGTTATGTTTGGCGAAGGCGGAGATGAAGAGGTTGTAGAGGGAGGGAGTGGGTCGAGAGTCAATGAAGGATTTGAAGAGGTTGAATGTCTAGGAGGTGTCGGAGAGGCGAGAGGAGCGGAGGAGGGAAGAGAGGGAGAGGTGGAGGAGGAGGAAGAATGAGATTGAGAGGGGTTAGGGTTTGGGATTGGAGCTGATTTATGACGCTGGAAGGCACGCTGAATTTGAGGCCCATTTATCGTCGGAGAAAAAATAATATATCAATATATCACCGGAAAAAATATATCAAACTATCACTAAGGGTAAACAAAATATACAAATTCGGTATTTTTGCCCATCTGTAGTCTATACGCTCATACAGTATTTGATATTGAGTTGAACTCTGATGTACATCAAAGTCCAGTTAGCTTCAAAATGGGTTTTGTGAATTCAGATTTTGTTAGCGTTTGTTAAAAACATGATAAATTTGGTTTATAAAATAGAGTTTTGCTTCAATACTCCAATAAATATCTTTTTTTTTTTGTATACAGGGAAAAAAATGGCAAAAAAAGGGGCTTAAATTTTAAGAATGATATTTTGGTACTTCGCTCCTAAAAAAATATTATTATACTTAGATAATCTCAAAAATTATATATTTATTTTCCAAATTTGTTAAGAGATTCCATTTTGAGATTTGTGATAGAGGTGAAGACAACGGATATTCATGGAAAGAAAAGAAAAATAGCAATGTTATATATATATATATGTGAGAGCAATCCAAGGCCCAAAATTACGCATTAGTCTTGCTTTATTTACAAAAGTGACAGGGAAACGAGAAAGATTTTCTGTTTATACTCGAAATCTGAGAGGAATTAATTACCATTGATGCCACAAAATGTTGACTTTCTTCTTAAGGGCTGTTTGGTTCGTTTCCTTGATATAAAGAAATACAATTTCATGTAAAGAAACACAAGTTTTAAGTTTTCCAAACTTTTCCAAGAAATAGATTGTTTTGCTTTGGTTCGCGCATAAAAAATGATGGGAAACCAATGTATTTATTTTTCTTGTGTTTGGTTCGCATAGAAAAAAAAGAAAAACTTTTGTAAACAAAGCAGAGAAGGAAAAAAATCTGACGTGGCAGAGTTTTCATCAATTTCACTTGGTTGGGGAAGGAAATCGGAGAGGGAAAAAAATCTTAGTTGGCGGCGATTTCAGCAGAGTTTTCCCTCTTCCATTCGAGCGAACCAAAGCGGCACAAAGAAATGGACGGAAACAAAAAAGCTGACGTGGAGGGCTAAAAATCTGACGTGGAGGGGTTTTCTGAGTTTTCCACCCCTTATAATAGCGAACCAAACAGCCCCTTACAATAAATTAAGAAATTCAAAACGAAATTCTATTATTGAAAGCTAGTTTTAAAGAGATCAGGTTTGTTCGGGAAGTACTTTAAAAATCAAATTTGTTACCGTAGAAATCTCTTGATCTATATTTGAAAAGACTCCGAATTCAAAATGTAATTTCTTGTTAAAATGCAGTTTGGATTTGCAAAACAATTTAGGTGGAATATCCCAAAAAAAAATTGGTGAACAAGTTTATCAAAAAAAATCAAACTAACGAGTTATATATGAGTTATGCTTTGGTGCTCCGAAAATAAGAATTTTTATAATTTTTAAATGGATGAAAAATTAAAATTTTGGGCTGAAAATAACAAGGGTGCATTTGTCCTTTTCTTTTCAATTCATATCCTATTATTTCTCTGTTCATAACCACTTCACCCACCTCCCTTGTTTCACGTTTACTAGGTGAATTGCACACGTGCAATGCACATGGTATACTTTTTAGATTTAGTTAAAATTGGTAATTTAGTTTAGCCTAATTTGAAGCTTATATACATGTTTAAACAAACATATAATAGTGTAATTTTCAGATTTTGATTTTTCAATGTACAAAAGAATATAAATCAATACAATTTATTACACTTATTTATAAATTAATATTTTCTCGTAAATGGGGTATCAAATTGTTAATGTTAGTATGTAGAAAGATCCTCTGACTTAGTTCTAAATCTTTTCAGTGAAAATATAAATAAAAGTGTAATTTTTCAATCGACGGTTAATTTTATTCCTCTTTATAATGATAAGAAAGGAATTGACATATGCATGCTATGCATAATTTTATACAATATAACTAAAAGCAAGAACAATAATATCTATTTTAAACACACCTTTGCATTATAATACCAAATTTTTGTCATAAATATGGAAGGAAAAATAAAAGAGAGAAATCTAATATGATAGAATACGGCCAAATTAGATTTTGTTAAAGATCAAGTGAGAAATTAGTTGAAGAAAACTAACCCTTCTCAAATATTAGTTTTATCCTTTTCTATGATGTTTTCAACTCCAGAACTACCCTCTAAGTTTAACCTATTTACAAATGTAGGTGTGGAAGGCCTATCAACCGCATAATCCCTTAAATTGTGGATTAGAGAGCTAGATTTTAGGCTTTTCTATTTACAGAAGATGCCATGGAGCACCGAAGCTGTTGGCGTTATATATTTAGTTATTCCTTTTAGAAGATAGTATATATCTACCGATTATTTATATTACAAAGCGTTTCTTAGTCGTAAAATTCACTTTCAAAATAAAACTTTATTTATTTATTTGGTAGTACGTTTATATAATTTTTACCCAAGGAAAGTATAGTATTTATTCACTACAACAAAAGTTGTATGCATCCACATTTATTTTATGACACATATAAAAGTGTTATTTTACTTACAAAGTATTAAACAATGACACAAATAAAAAGTAAAGCAAATCACGATACATATTTATGTCTTTAAATATGTAATTAAATATGTGTCACGCTCTATTTGTGTGGCATAAAAAATATATGACGTAGATACAAAAAATAAATCATAATTCTCAACCTTTGTTGTAGTGATTAAAATATATATATATATCATAATTCTCAACCTTTGTTATAGTGATTAAAGAAACTTTTCCTACTCTCACCAGCTAATTGACATCGAATCTTGCGGCACATTTTAGATTAATAATTCTTTTTACCTTTTGGATTATATACAACAACAACTCGTTGCTTTTTCTATTTTTATTTTATTTATATTTATACTTTTTATTTTTTTTTGTTGATAAAACAACTCGTTGCTTCTTGAAGCTTAAAAATAACTAATCATAAATCAGATATAATAGATTTATTTACAAAATCCATATATTTAATGATATTGAATTGTTTACCAATGAGCACGTTTTACTTGTCAAACTCAACTAGAAGTTGTTTCTAGTGGTATTCGAGCTCTAAATTAAAATCGTGGATCAAATCAATTAATTATATAAAGTAGAGATAATATCCTATTTTTATTTGTATAAAAAGCATGCATGGTAATGATAGGTCCAATATCTGTTTGAAAATTTAAATAAATAATTATAACCATATGCATACGTACATATTATGCTTTGTGATTGATTTTATTACTTTATATTATACCCTAAACAAAAGAGGAGGGAAATATTTTTCTGAAAGTAGCTAGCTATTTGCGAGAAGGCAGTATATCATGTGAATGAAAGGGACGTGAGGCATGTGGGCCAGCAGCAAGACGCGTGAGGAGCTTTGGTTGGCGTGTGCGAAGCTTGGATGTGGGGACCACGTTATCAAACCGCGTGAAGAAATGCAGCTAAGTTTGAAAGGCCCACCCGATAGTTTTTTGAGAAATGCAGCTAAGTTTGAAAGGCCCACCCGATAGTTTTTTGCTGCAACTATATAAATCTCTTTGTAGCCTAGGGTTTAGGGTTGGGCAGAGGGCTTGGTGTGTATAGGAGGCGGTGAAGGTGCAAGTTGGATTCCTTTTCTTTCGGCTGTGTTGTTTTCGGCAGAGCAAGGTGGTTTTTCGGCGGCTTTGTTTCTTGGAGAAAACGCAGCAAGGAAAAAGGAGAAGAAGAGGGGTTTTTGCATTCTTTTGAGAGAGTATTTGTGTGAGGGTTTAGATTCGAGAGATTGTAAACCCTATTTGTATTCACTTTCCCTCTATTAGTAGATCTCCCCCTCCTTGCCCCGTGAACGTAGGCAGTTTGCCGAACCACATAAAATTGATTTGTTTGAGTTTGTGGCTATTGTAATAGTTTTTAGGATCCCTCGACAGGTCAGTCCTAGAACTGATGAGAGGAAGAGCCGATATCTCACTTGGTTGAGATATCCGCTTCAGATTCTTGTCTCCTTGGTGAGACGGGAATTCTTATTGATCTTTCCCTCTTATTGTGCACCAGAAACTCTGCCGAAATTTTCGCTGCGCACAACAAGTGGTATCAGAGCGTTTGAATATCCACTCTATGAAGATAGATGTGGAGAAATTTAATGGTACAAATAATTTTGGATTATGGAGATGCGAGGTTTTGGATGCGCTGAACGCGCAGAATTTGGAGGATACCTTGGAGTTAGATGGCAAGCCAGATGAGATTGAAGAGAAGGTTTGGAAAAAGATGAATCGAACGGCGTGTGGTGTGATTAGGTCTTGTTTGACTCAAGATCTAAAATATGATGTGATGAATGAGACTTCTGCGAAGAAGATTTGGGAGATTCTCGAAAGCAAGTATTTGACCAAGAGTGTGGAAAATCGCTTGCATTTGAAGAGGAGACTTTATCGTTTCCAGTTGAAGAAGGGAACCTCCATTAGAGATCACATGAACCACTACACGAAGCTTCTTGCGGATTTGGCGAATGTGGATGTCATAATTGAAGATGAGGACAAGGCGTTGTTGTTGTTGAGTTCCTTGCCCGACGAGGAATATGAGACCTTTGTTCTTACTCTGATTAATAGGAAGGCATCACTTTCGTATAGTGAGGTCACTGCTGCATTGGTGAATTATCAGCTTCGGAAGAAGGATAAGGAGAATTCGACTGAGTCGGTAGCAGAGGCATTGATCGCAAGAGGGAAGAGTCCAAACCGAAAGAATTGGAAGTCACAGTCTAGAGTAGGGCATCCTACAATTGGAAAAGATCAGTGTGCTTGGTGCAAGGAGACTGGTCATTGGAAGAAAGACTGCCCAAAGCTCGACGAATGGATGAAGAATAAGCAGAAGGGGAAAGGGAAGCAGCCATCATCAGAAGCAAACATCGTATCGGATGGTAATAATTCTGACTCTTCTATTTATTCGCTTTCTATCAGTCCTACAGATAGCTATTCGGAGGAATCTGAATGGATGTTGGATAGTGGTGCGACCTATCATGTGTGCCCTAGAAGGGAATGGTTCTCCAGTTTTGAGAAGCTGGTGGATAGTGGTGTGGTGTACATGGCTGATAACCGTGCATGCCAGATCCTTGGGATAGGAAGAATTCGCATAAAGATGTTTGACGGGACTGTTAGAGAGTTAAACGATGTGAGATATGTTCCTTCTTTGAGGAAGAACTTGATCTCGATTGGAGCTTTGGTTGGAGAGGGTCTGAAGGTTCGTGTTGAGGACATGGTTCTCGAGATTGCGAGAGACTCTCGTATTTTGATGAAGGGCGTCAGGAGAAATAACCTGTATTACTTGACTGGAGGTATAGTGGCAGGTGAAGAGCTGACGACTTCTGTTGATTTGACTAGACAATGGTATTTGGGGCTTGGCCATTCCAGTATTAATTCCTCGCATAGATTGAAAGAGGGTGCAAAGACCTGCAGTTTGAAGTCCAGTGAACATGTTGATGTGAGCAAGAAGACCGAGGTGAAGTGTGGCACCTCTATTCACCGTGCTAAGGGTCGTTCTGGAGGAGTTCACGTGGATGTTTGGGGGCCTTCCAAGGGGGCATCATTGGGAGGTAATAGGCGTTTGGTTTCCTTTGTTGGTGGCTGTTCTAGGCGTGTTTGGGTTGCAACCAAATCCCCTTTGGAGAAAGTCCTAGTAGTATCCAACAGATTGAAGAAGTGTGTGACAGACAGAAAGGTGAAGGTACTCCATTCTGGTGGGAGGTACAAGATGGACCTGTTTCTGTGTTGGAGCCGAGCTCACGGCATTTCGAGACACTTTGTTGGAAAGGAAATCTTGGGACAACTAGATAAGGTGACAAATTTGGAGAACCGTGCCTTGCTGGAGGAGGATCGATGTTTGTGGTCGAGCAATGGTTTACAGAAGAGTTTCTGGACAGAGGCTTTGACATATTTGGGTCATCCTATTAAAGGGTTGTCAACTGCTGTGATTGGAGGTAAAACTCCATTGGAAGATAGGTCTGGTAGTGTCACTTTGGTTGAGGCTTCGATGAGGGAGCTAATTGACTCTCAGCAGGTGGAGAGTTTTAGACAGACCTTAGAGGTATCACAGCGGGTGGAGAGTGATGCTACTCCACATTGGGTGAAGATTACTCCAGATCATACTGCATTATTTGGGATTCCAGCTAAGGTGACACGGCTTGGAGATCATTTGTTTTTGGATGCAGATGATGAGTTGGGTTTTGATTCGAGTGCAGCTGATAGATGCAGTTTGAATATGACCATTGGTTCATCTCAGGTGGAGGTGTTTGAGGCCATTGGAGGTGCTATCAGCCGTAGACTTGATCGTGATATTGGAGAAGGGTTGCGTACTCTTCTATTGGATTGAGGTCGTTAGCGGCCATTTGGGTGAACTACGTTCGGCTTGATTCCTTGGGCAAGAGGATACGTAGGCAGTCTTATGATGCAGCCGGGATTGGATTTTGATGGGGGTGAGATCGATTTGGTGAGTTGATACTGACATTTGGAGAGTGTTTGCATTCTCATTTAATTATTTCACGGTGTACTGGACACAACAAGTGAGACATTTGGTTTGGTCGGTGTCGGCTCAGTTTTGGAAGAAACTTCACCGAGGTGGAGAATTGTGAATGAAAGGGACGTGAGGCATGTGGGCCAGCAGCAAGACGCGTGAGGAGCTTTGGTTGGCGTGTGCGAAGCTTGGATGTGGGGACCACGTTATCAAACCGCGTGAAGAAATGCAGCTATGTTTGAAAGGCCCACTCGATAGTTTTTTGCTGCAACTATATAAATCTCTTTGTAGCCTAGGGTTTAGGGTTGGGCAGAGGGCTTGGTGTGTACAGGAGGCGGTGAAGGTGCAAGTTGGATTCCTTTTCTTTCGGCTGTGTTGTTTTCGGCAGAGCAAGGTGGTTTTTCGGCGGCTTTGTTTCTTGGAGAAAACGCAGCAAGGAAAAAGGAGAAGAAGAGGGGTTTTTGCATTCTTTTGAGAGAGTATTTGTGTGAGGGTTTAGATTCGAGAGATTGTAAACCCTATTTGTATTCACTTTCCCTCTATTAGTAGATCTCCCCCTCCTTGCCCCGTGGACGTAGGCAGTTTGCCGAACCACGTAAAATTGATTTGTTTGAGTTTGTGGCTATTGTAATAGTTTTTAGGATCCCTCGACAGGTCAGTCCTAGAATTGATGAGAGGAAGAGCCGATATCTCACTTGGTTGAGATATCCGCTTCAGATTCTTGTCTCCTTGGTGAGACGGGAATTCTTATTGATCTTTCCCTCTTATTGTGCACCAGAAACTCTGCCGAAATTTCCGCTAAGCACAACATATCAAATATTTCATAAATAAAAACAAAAGCAAATAAAATTAAAAAAGCGAACCTCGATACTTCTTTGACTTGCTTGATTCTCTCTCCTCTCTCCCTCTCTTGTTGCAGCAGCTACAAAAGCTAAATAAATTATGAAACAAACTTTAGACGAAGCCAATTTATAGGCTTTATATAGCGTGTTTTAAGATAACGCAAACATTAAAAGATAAGCGTAACAAACTTATTCGTGATAAATTTAATATATCTCTAAAGATAATAAGCAAATCATTTTATTTAAAAAAAAAGATAAGGAGCAGAATTCTCAGCATAATTAGGATTAATCACAGTATCTCTAACCCCACCGACCTTTTATAATGATTCGCTGCCAATTTTTTGAAATTTTCACCGCGATATGTGAACATCTAAAGGAGGGTTAGTCACCTAGAACTTAAAATTTGAACTGACATAATTTGTGAGATAAATTTTTAAGGTGTTAATCTCATAGAACTAAAACTAGAACAAAATTTTACAGTATTAGTCAAGTAGAACTCTAACAAAACTAGAATTAGGATAATGGTACAAAATTATCCTATTTTTTTAATTTTTCTATAAAATGAGAGTTCTAGTCTCTCAAATTATTTCAAGTTTTAGCTTGGAACTAGATGGTAAAACACTAGAACTCATATTTATTTTGTTATTTTTTATATTTTTTTTCTTTACTTCTTTCCTATTATGGTTATCATCATCATTATAATAACAATTATCAATATCTTATAGTCTAACCAAAAGTTATTTAATAATAAAGAACATTCTTGTAAGCAATTATCAATCGATAATAGTAAGTTTAAAATACATAAATAATATTTATATCTTCAAAATGCATAAATATATATTTCATGATTATAAAAATTTATCCCGCGTTATTTTATCAAAATATCTCACTTCACAAAATTGTTCCTATTTATTCCACTAAAATATCCCACTATCGAAAAATTATTCCACTTTAACAATTATCCCATTTTGCATGAAAATGTCCCAATTAACTAGCACCTAGGGAAGGATATATAAGAGTAATTTAGTAGTTAAAATATGAAGAAATCCTCTTTTTTTTTAAGATCACTTCCAAATCTAAAAATCAACGCTTCTCACCATGCAGTTGCCTCATTTCAAATTACCGTATAGATAATAGATAATGTCCGTTTTCCTTCCATATGGATAAATTTGTGTAGAAGTAGACCTTTAAAAGTCTATTATCTATTATCCATCTATTATCTATTACTTATCATTATATTTAATATTAAAAGCTTTTAAAAAAAATCAATATATGTTCTCAACAATTTATTATCCACTAGTTTTTATACACGTGCAATGCACATATTTAAATATGAAAATAATTTATTTATTGGTTTATTTTCTTACTATAAATCAGTCAGATTCATTTCGAGCTAAATTTGTAAACTGGATTATTAGGTTTGAGATAATTTTATTTAAGCATTTTAAAAATTTTGATAAAATGCATTTATATGTTAAACTGGGATCAATATACTTTTATATATTTGGATAACAACATCACTTTTTTTAATTGGTACATATCAAACTTTATATAATATGTTTATTTATCGGATCATCGAGCTCCGATTTGTTTATCTTAATCACTAAATGTAGTGTTAAGTTTGAAGAAAAACACGATAATATTTTATTAATGTGTAAAAAAATTAATTGACTCTTTCTAAACAATCTAATCTAATCTAATATCTAATAAGAAGAAAGTAACAAAGTCACATACACGTTGATGGAGACGAAAGTGCAACGAAAATTATTATAATTTCTTGGCTCAGATATATAGGCATGGGATGCTGCATGTGAGAGCATAACGAGTTAAATCGAGTTCTATTTGGATAACGATTGTATAATTTCTTGAATTTTGAAACTATTAATACTTAAGATTAAGATAGGATTAGGATTGCAGTTAATAATCAATATTATAGGATTATAGTTCAATTACTACTGCGCCTTTCAATTATGACGTGAAGTAAATTGATTCTATTAGGATAGATATATAGTTTTCACGGCAGCTATAGGATTGGACAAATATGTAGTGACAGTGGTTTTAAATTGTTGATTCACATGATATAGGATAATTAGGATTAAGCTGGCTTCGGCTAAATTAAAGTTATGGGGCTTTAAATTCAAATATAGATTAGTACCCTAATGAGAATTTTGTATAGACTATGTCCCTCACTGTTACAAATTAGCAATGTAGTTGATCAACTTGGTGATATTTGAGATCAGAACAGACACATTCACTTTGTCACAAAATACCAAGCGCATGGCCTAAATTTCTGAAATAGGCTCCAGGTATCTAAATGAATTAATCAGTCACGACAGTACACTGGTAGCACAGGCTTTTGAAGGGGCGGTTTGACAGTGTAAGTTAGCGGGCGATTTTCGTCATGCTATCTTGCACTCCCGCCGGGTAATTTGGAGAAAATTTTGAGTTTCTGATGGCTAGGAAGAAGAAAAGTAGTGGGAAAAACCCGCCGGGTAATTTGGAGAAAATTTTGAGTTTCTGATGGCTAGGAAGAAGAAAAGTAGTGGGAAAAAGATATTAGAGATTGGATTGAGAGCCTCAAGAGTTTCTGATGGCTAGGAAGAAGAAAAGTAGTGGGAAAAAGATATTAGAGATTGGATTGAGAGCCTCAGATCTGATTCCTGAGACATCTGATGATCATTCTGATGTCCGAAGTGATGAATATGATGAAGATTTTATTGAGATGGGATCTACTGGTCCAAAAGGGGCAAATAAATCTAGATCAATGGCTGATGTGCTGAATTCAAACAATTTGCAGTGTGCTCGTGTTGATAGAGTACCAGTGAATGTTCAATCTGGAGTTCTTGATCTCACTGCTGGTTCTAGTAAGTTCCAATCTCCTGGATCTAAAGGTGTTCTTGATCGAGTGCCTGTGGATGTTCAATCAGGAGTTCTTGATCTCACTGCTGGGTCTAGTAAGTTCAAATCTTCTGGATCTCAAGGCGTTCTTGATCTTAGTAAGCTTAAATCTCCTGGATCTAATGGCGATCTCAGCAAGCGTCAATTTTCTGGTTTTTTTGGTTCTAATGGAGTTCTTGACCGCAATAAGCAATCTACTGGTTCTAGTAGTTCGGTTAGAGTCTCTTGGGCAGATGAGGTGGATCTAGGTTGTTCGCGGGGAAAATGGTTTTCTTCTTCATTGAAATAATTGTCATCTTGGGTTACAAAAGATCCGGTCTTTTTTAGATCCGGTTACAATTAAATCAAAGAAAAAAAGAAAAATTACAACTTTCCTTATTTGTCGAACGAATCGCGAGATCCTGTTTTGCGGTCTCTCGCTTTGGTGGGTTCTTTGCCGACGCCGGGGTTAATCCGTGGACCACCGCGCGATCTAGATCCGGTCGGATCTACACGATTATACGGGTATTATTCCACGAAGGGAATAATAGCCGGGAGGGATTAGTCCACCAAGGGAATAATCGCTCAGATCTCGGGATCTAAGACCAAGCTTAGATCCGGAGTGATATCGTGTAGATCTCAGATCTGTTCTTTGTCTCCTCTCGAAATCCTGCCTTTTCTGACGTAGGTGCTCGCCGAGGATCAGATCTGTACGTGCAAGTCTTCAGGTCTTCAAAGCTCTGAGTTCACTCTTCAATCCGGCAGAGTTTTGGCTCTTGAAATTCCGACCTCTGAAAATGAACATTGCCTGGCCTATTTATAGGCTTTCTGAACTGTGCCCGCGCACAGAGACATGTCGGCCACTGTCGGCCACTGTCGGCCACCTCTGGGTGGCCGGCACTGTGCCGAGCCACCATCCGCTTCTGAGTTCGAGTCCGAAATTGATCTTGATTCGATCGTGATTCGTCCGAGTCCGCTCTCGGTTGGATGACTCGTTGATTCCTCAACTCATTAGCTTGATTCTGCACGCGGGTGGATTCATTCCGTTGTTCGCGTGCGATTTGTCGATCTCGTCGCCTCGTTGGTTCGTCGGTTTGTGCCGAGCTATGCTAGGGGACCTATAAGCAATTTTATATGCCTACAGATACCCCCTCCAAAGTATTTCAGTCTCGTTCTTTTATAGAAGAGTCTGGAATACTTTGGATATGATTGCCCCCACCTTTAGTCGGTGTAATGGGATCTTGGAATGATTCCCGTTCTTGACTCCTTCAATTCTCCAGGCTTTTCGGTGCTTTGTCGAAAGTCTGTAAGAGTTCCGGTGCTGCATTTATTGTCTGACCGTTTGTCGGAATTTTGAACTTTGAAGTCGATTCCTGATTTCTAATTTTTAGCTGACCATCGATTGTGGCGTCGAGTCTTTATGTACAACGCGTTGTCCGGCGTAGTGTGGTTGAGTTATCCTTAAGAATATTTATAAACAATATTCTCCAGGAACTTCTCAAACCAAAAATAGGGAATAGTTTATACTCATATACCTTATTGGAGTATTAAGAAGCAGTTTATACTCGTATACTTTTCGGAGTGTTAAGAAGCAGTTTATACTCGTATACTTTTCGGAGTGTTCTTTAGGTTCGAATAATCTGAACCGGCCTAAAAAAGTGCCAAAAAGGCAGTATTTGGGTTCAAAATCTCTCCGACCCTTCCAAATATACGGTAGAGGGGTTAAATAGGTGAAGGAATGAACCGTAGGTTGATCAAAAGTCGTTCCAATGTTTAATTCAGCTCCAATTTGAATTCTGGTTCAAATTTGGTTCAAACTGGTTCAATTTGGCTCAAACTGGCTCATTCTGGTTCAATCTGGCTCAATTTGGCTCATTCTGATCTGGTCTGGTCCAGCCAGGCTCAATCTGACTCAATTTGGCTCATTCTGGCTCATTGTGGCTCATTCTGGCTCAATCTGGCTTGGTCTGGTTCAACCCTGATCTGGTCTGGTTCAGCCAGATCTGGTTCAAGGCTATAAAAGGGGGGTTTTTTCTTCATTTTTTTTTTCTTCTTCTCTTTCTAGGGCCGGCCCCCCCCCCTTGTCCTATTTTCTTGATTTCTCTTCCCTCGAGCGTCCGATCTCCTTAAAAACTTGATATTCGTCTTAGATCTAGTACTCCTTTTGATCCTTGACTGAAAAATCCTTCGAAACTTCCATTTTTGGAATTTCTCTCAGGCCCCTCGAGCGTGTG